TCTCCATTGCCATATAAACCTAACCAATCAGGGAACTCATAGTAAGCATCTTGACTTTCCAGCTCTGTGTCACCAATGTGATTTGGCAGTACACCATGATGACTGAGGGATAACAAAGTGGCATTGCCCTTGTTGGCGTGGGAGGGTGAGGGCAATTCTCCGTTGCTGAGTCAACCAAGCTAATGTTCCCTGCCTTGCTGCCGTGATATCTGTCACATTGTGAATGGGATCTCATTGGTCCTGTTTCCTTAGCAACGGGGACATGTCTTGTTTGCATATATCCTTCCAAGCCTTCATTAGAAAAAAAACATGAAAAAAGATGTGCAGTGGCTATGAAGAACAACTAGAAAAGTGAGCAAAAATTACCACTGCAAAGTTTGCCCCATTTCCCTTTTCTAGTATTCCTTATATGTAATTTACTAAAACATTTGAAACTGATTATTACCCTTTCTCATTACATAGTTATAAAGTTAGGATTGCACTTTAATAGGCTCCATTCTATGCAATTCTGGGATTTGTTGTCTGTTGGAGCACTAGAAATCTATGGCTGATAATTCTATGCATCTCTTTCTAAACTGTAAATCCCAGGATGCCATAGGATACAAACATGGTTTTTCGGGCTATATGGTCATGTTCTGGAAGCATTCTCTCCTGACGTTTCACCTGCATCTATGGCAGGCGTCCTCAGAGTTTGTGACCCGAAAAACCTACAACAACCCAATGATTCTGGCCATGAAAGCCTTCGACAATATATGATAGTTAAAATGCAAACATGGTACTGCAAGGACTATGATCCATATTAATACAATAAGATAATTGTGGCTGCAAGGAATATGTTCCTGGCTAGATTGCAGTTATCCAAAAACCACAGATACAACTGAGTGCCATTCAGTTATCTTGCTTTTGGTCCCAGGGTACGTGCTCAATAATCCCTACTGTGTGCAAACCCATCCAGGATGGGCTCATAGCCCAGTTTCTAGACATGAGCATCACTGCCTTATCCAGGTTCAGCTTAATTTTATGAGCCTCCATCTGACCCATTACAGTATTCAGGCACTGGTCCAGCACCACTTTTGCCTCAGTTGTCTCCACCAACAAGGAGAAGTGGGCCAGACAGTGATGAGTAGTTCAACATTCATTATGACTTCACTGGTTGACTTTGTTGTTTTTCTTGTGTGTCTTCAAGTTGTTTCCCATATATGCTGACCCCAAGGAGAACTTATCACACTGTTTTCTTGGCAAGATTTGCCTTTGTTTCACTTTCCTTTGAGGCTGAAAGAGTCTGACCTGGTCAAGATTACTCAGTGGGTTTCTATGGACAGGTGGGAATTCGAACCTTGGTCTCTATGCTCAGCTGTATCATGCCAGCTCCTCATGAACTTCAAATAGAGAAAAAAGAACTCATCTCAGGGTTTTCTCAGTAAGATTTGTTCAGAGGAGCTGAGAGAGTTGATCATACTTAGAAATCAGTGGAATTAATAAACAAATCTATTATTGCAACTGTTTTTCCCATGAATTCTTGTGTCAGTTTTATTAAAATATTGAAGTGTACGTTCTGATTAAAGTTCTAGCAGAATGCTATGCATGTATATTCATGAATAAGTGCTATTAAATTCACTGGGGCTTCCTCCTAAATAAGTTGAGAACCTTGTAGCCTCTTTCTCTGCCAAAGGGTGTGTTATTTCATTCTTTTCCAAATCCTTTACTTCATGATGCTAACAGGTGTATTCACCATTTGCCCATGCTGGAAACAGTTGTGTGTAATTTATATTACAAACATATTTGTCCCATATTTGCCAATGTGCTCTTTCTGGTTTTTGTTTAAACAGTTGAACTACTTTATGTTTTGTTTTTTGATCTCACACCTCCAAAGGCGGAAGAAAGGCATTAAAGACCTTCTTGTAAAGAAAACCAATGCAGCTTGTTATGTCACCTCTACTCCATGGCTTTCCATGTCCTATTTGTGATGTGTGCATTTAAGACAAGATGCAGCTTTCCATGCTTCTAGGACTGTAGGTCCCATGAAGCCTCACCAGCATCACCAATGGAAGTACAGGAGTTGAAGCCCAGCAAAATTTGGAGACCTGTGCTTTGCCCATCCCAGCTCTAATGCAGGTCTCAGGAGCATTTAGTTATCTAGATCAGTGGTTCTCAGGCTTTGATCCTACAGTTGCTTTGGAGTTCACCTCCCAGAATTCCTGACAATTAGCTATGCCAGCTGTGTTGGGACTTGAAACACCCGGAGAATTCCAGGTTGAGAGCAACTGATCTGGTGATTTTTTTATATGTACTTATATCCACCTTTCCCTCAGTTTGGGACTCAAAGTAATGTACAGCCATTAAAACATCCAAAAGCCCTTCTCTTACAGACATTAAAAAGGAAATTAAATCAGAAAAAAATCAAACCAGATCAAAACATAATAAAAATCGCAAAAATAAACAGTACATTATGTAAGCCCTGTTCCTTTTGAACAATCTGTCTCCAAAAGCATGCCAAAACAGAAAGATAGAAAGAAGGATGCTGATTTAATTTTACTATGAAAGTGGTTCAATAACCGAGGAATAACCACCAAAAGCCCACCATATTTCAGCTCATAATAGTTGCACCTCCCTTTTATTGAAAAAGGGGGGTGTGACTATTATGTGGTGAAAAGAAATGTGCCTTTGTTTCCTGGATTCTGGTTTGGTTTTTAAAAAACTATTGTACTTCTGGGATGAAGAGGAGGGAGAGCAACCTCAGTGTTTGTTCAAACTGTCTTTGGGAGGGAATGGAATTTCTCAGTTTTATAAAAACCTGCGATTTTATGCAAGGAAAAAAAACCATTTTGGGACCCCAAAAAATGGAGGTGTGACTATTATATGAGGAAATATGGTATGCCCACCAGATATATCTGTGGAAGTGGTGGTGATAGAAATGCAACAACACTTACCACTAATGAAGAAAGGATACCTCACAGTGGGTAGTGGTAATAGTTAGACAATTTGGGTGACCTAAAATGCCCTCCTTCTATCCTGAATCTCTGTGATGTAAACTGATATTCTTAGGGATGTTTTTTTAACCTCTTAATTTTTCCCATGAGTTCATATAGCTAGGTTAGATCAGCAACCTGAGAACCTAGATTCCATAATGGAATATTGAGAGTGGAGTACCTTAGAATGGAGATCCTACAATAAAGTTTAGTTTCTTTCTCCAAGCCATTGGCGTGTTTGCTCCTCAAATAAGATCTCTAATTGTTGAAGGTGGGGCAGAGGGAAGGTGCTTCTCAAAAGATCTCAAAACACAGACAGGTTCACATGGGAGAATTAAGTCTTCAGATAATCTGGACCTGAGCCCATAGGTCTTGGTAGGTCATAACCTGCACTTCGAATTGTAACAGAAAATTGTGTGGTGCACTGTTGCAAGAAGAACGTTGTTTGCTGCCTTTAGGCAACTTAAGTTATCAATCTATCTACAGTAATAAGGCCCATGGTCTCCCAATACTTAGAAGACTCAGGCAGCATGGCCAAAAGAATTGGATTATTTATGTAATAACATAGCCAAAATATCTGGAAGACCAGAGCCCTTCAGACATGCTCTACTGAAAAGCTAACAGCTTTTTCTCTAGCAGGGATGGTAATTAGTGAACTGCTTCTCCCAGTGTCCCTAGTAGTAGCTAAAGGTGAGAAATTCTTTGGGACCTGCATTATTTACATTTCTATTAAAGCAACAAAATGCGTGGAATGATAGTGGAATCCTATATATCCATGTTATTGTGTAAAGTCAAATCTGTCACAGGGGTTTTTGTGGAAAAGGATATCTGACTAGTCCAGGTTCACCCAGTAGGTTTTCATGACCATTTAAACCCTAGTCTACAGATCCAACCAGTCCATACTTCAGGAAATAAAGCCTGACTGCTCATTGGAGGAAAGGATATTAGAGGCAGAGATGAAGTACTTTGGCCACATCATGAGAAGACGGGAAAGCTTAGAGAAGACAATGATGCTGGGAAAAATGGAAGGAAAAAGGAAGAGGGGCAAGATGGATGGTATCCTTGAAGTGACTGGCTTGACTCTGAAGGAACTGGGGGTGTTGACAGCCAATAGGGAGCTCTGGTGTGGGCTGGTCCATGAAGTCACAAAGAGTTGGAAGCAACTGAACGAATAAACAACAACTCCACAGTCATAATTCAACATGAATTACTGCATCATAATGATCACACACCCCCCCCCTTTATGGGGTTTACTCTAGAGATATAGATACAAAGCTTTTCTGCTGTGAAGTTAAAATGAAAGAGGAAGCACGCCTACCTTCTTTATAGCATTCTAAAGGCAGTAGAGAAGAGCTAGTAAAAGTAAAAAAAATAAGTTTGTAATTATTTAAAAATTATTTTTCTTAGCATGACCTTTATGTTTTCCTCAGCTGTGTGACAAACAGAAGTGCATAACATGATTTTGCTTCCTCTTGTGCAGAGAAACTGATAGGGAAGGTTTCAGTTACTGGATAATTTACTGCCACATGTCTATTAAAGGGACATGGCCCCTTTTCTGTTAACAAAAAAAATCCACACCCAACCTGATGAAAGTGTTGGTCCAGTTGCTGAAATGGAGACAAGAACATTTTAAAATTCACTTAAAATGCACATGTGTCATTGAACATGGCTAATTAATCACCAAAACTACTCAGACTAGTAAACATCACGTGTCTCACCCCAGAAAAGTTACTGTTTATGTTTTGCTTTTTGTTTAAACATTAACAATATTAGTATCATTTTATGAAAAGGACCATATTACAGGTAGTATACATGCCAGCTTTGCTTTCGTCAAGTGTAAAGAACTGAGTCAATGTTCCACATACTAACATTCCTAATACATTCCAGAAGATCTCTCCTCTTTTGGCAGCATTCTTTATGGATTTTACTACATTTTATATTCACATGCATAGAGTCCCAATTCATTTTCAACTTTAAACAAAATTATTTCCTCCTCTCTCCCTTCCCCTTTCTTTTTATGTTCTTTTACAGCTTTTTGGAGCAATAGTCTGGATTTTAGTCGCTGCCACCAAAGTCCCTTTGCCACTACTACAGGGATGGGTGATGTTTGTGTCGGTGACGGCATGTTTCTCCTCCATCTCCTTCCTCAGTGTGTTTCTCTTCAGCTACAGAGAAAGAATTTCTATTGATTGGAACCGTGTGGTAAGCATTTCAAAGACACTTAAAACTGGGTTTTGAAGAAATGGGGATACATATATTGCAGTGCAATATGGCAATATTTTAAACCTCTGGGTAGATTCTTGCTTTTTGTGATGCTTGATGAATGCTATTCTGCGCTTTAAACCAACTAGACTTAAAATTGATTCAACAAGATACATGTTGCCATGGTTTTACTCCACTCTGTGCCTTTAATAACCACATGCATGGTGGTCCAGAGATAGTGCTAATCTCAAAGTGAATCTGCGCTACATGAGTTTTGTCAGCTTTTATATTATTTCAGTTATCTTGAGTCCATTGTCAACATCATGGGATCTGTGATTGAATGAGGTTCTGATAATTCTCTGCAAGTGAGTTCTAGTATCTTTGACAGAGATGTCTTAACTCTCCAAAAAAACAGATTTCATAAATGGAGCAATGGCAACAGGAACAAAACTGGTGTAACTGTGCAGATGCACCTTCCATGTTGTGAGAAGCTGCATTTATTGAGTTCTGTATTACAAAAAGTATCAGGTCAAGTACGCCATTCTGGTTTTGTTTCTGTGGTCAGCTGTACAGTAGGTTTACTGCAGCTCTGTGCTGCAGTAACTTCCTCCTCTGAGATTTGCACAGTCCTGTCTTTTCCTCCTTTCTGATTTATATCACATACCAATGGAGGGATAAGCAAATAAGGCCTTTGTTTATGATCCTTTTTGCAAGTCTAGACCAATGAGAGGGACAGGTATTTACAGAAGTGGTTTCATGTGTTTCATTTGGAAACACATACGTTTGGTGCAATGAATTCACTACCATTTTAAACTCTAGCATTTTGTGAAAGAAAAGAAAGAATTCCATCTACAAATCAGTTGCTGTTCTAACAAGTTTGTCAATCATCCCACCCCCTTTCACCAATGCTATTTTGCTCTGTGACTTAATCAAATAATGAATTGATGTTTAGATCATCATGTAGTAATGATTTCTTTGAATAGTTCAGGAAGGCAAATACATACCTGCAATTTAATAATAGGCTTTTGTAAATTTCTCCTTTTATTAAAAGAAAAATTGTTTGTGTATTTGTATTTCTCTCTTAATGACAAATCCGCTGTATATGTGCCATTTTTTTTCTTGGAAAAAAGTGTTGTTTTTGCATCAAGACTGGTAACATGCATATTTGGTTTGTGAATGTTGATTTTGGGATTTCTCATTCTTGCTTATGCAAGTTGTAAGAAGATACTTCAATCAACGACTATACACTTGGCTTGGAGCTGATCAATGTTTTGGACAATTTTATGCCATTTTGTGAATTCTGAGGGTTGTAGGCTTTTTTAAAAACATTTCCAAGTTCTACCTAATATGTCTAGAAGTAGATCTGTTGGTCTTAACACACTTTGACTGTGAGCAAACTTGTTAAGTTGCAATTTGCATCAGCTGCTCCAAGTCCCCTCGGGGAGATGGGGTGGGGTATTATTGTCAGGAGTTGGTATTGGTAAGATAAGGAACAGATTTTGCTTTTTAATTGAGCATTTCTTATTAATTGTTTGCATAGATCAGCATTCCTCAACCTGGATGTCAGGTCCCTGGGAGGGGAGTTACGAGGGGGTGTCAAAGGGGATGCCAAAGACCATCAGAAAACACAATTTTCTGTTAGTCATGGGACGTTTGCTCCAGTTCTATTGTTGGTGGGGTTCACAATGCTCTTTGATTGTAGGTGAACTATAAATCCCAGCAACTACAACTCCCAAATGACAAACTCAATCCCCCCCAACCCCCTCAATATTCAAATTTGACGTATTTATCAGGTATTTGTGCCAAATTAGGTCCTGTGCGTGAAAACACATCCTGCATATCAGATATTTACATTACGCTTTTTAACAGTAGCAAAATTACAGTTATGAAGTAGCAACAAAAATAATTTTTCTGGTTGGGTGTTACCACAACATGAGAAACTGTATTAAGAGGTCATGGCATTAGGAAGGTTGAGAACCACTGGTATAGATATTTCACCAACAATGGTGCCAATCTCTGATACACTGGGAGAAACATCTGTTCAGTCCCACACATAAAATAGCTTATCAAGACCTGATCTAATCAATCAAAAAAGTCTTCTGTTTTTAAGGTGAGGTGTTTGCAAGAAGCTCTATAGCAGGCAGGTCTGGGCAAGAGTACAGAATAGGCGTGGGCAACATATTCCTCATTGCTGCCTCTTCTGACAAGGCTTGATGGGAGTTGCAGTCCAACAGCATTCCTGATCCATGATATTCCAGAAGCGATTTTGGAGAGGAGAGGCCCACATCTAAAAGAGTTAACAATGTTACAACACCAGTAGATGGGGAATGCCATAGTAATTGATTTTCACCTGTGGATGAGCTTGTCAACTTCTTCTACATATCATCTATATAGCATTGGTTCTTGCCTGCATGTCCTTTTTCCAGGGTGGAAGCATTGTAAGAGGAGAATTGGGGTCCATGCAAAATTCATGCAATTTGACACCACTTTAACTGCCAAGGCTCAAAGCTGTGAAATCCTGGAATTTGTAGTTTGGTGAGGCTCTAGCACAATTTTCAGAAAAGGTGAGAGTCCTTGGAACTACAGTAGAGTCTTTCTTATCCAACATAAACAGGCTGGCAGAACATTGGATAAGCGAAAATGTTGGATAATAAGGAAGGATTAAGGAAATGCCAATTAAACGTCAAATTATGTTATGATTTCACAAATTAAGCACCAAAACATCATATTTTACAACAAATTGACAGAAAAAGCAGTTCAATACACGGTAACATTATCTAGTAATTACTGTATTTACCAATTTAGCACCAAAACATTGCAATGTATTGAAACAGCTATTGATCTGGGTGGAAGGCAAACTGCATTGGATAATACAGAATATGGGATGAGTGAAGATTGGATGAGCGAGACTCTACTGTATAACTCTTGTGATTCCATACCATTGAGCCATGGCAATTAAATTGGTGTCAAACTACACTGATTCCACAGTATAGAATTAATGTAATACAATAATTCTGAGAGCACAGAACTTTATAATAATCCTGTACTTGAAATGTTGTTGAAATGTAGGTATTACATTCAGGGTTGGATTATTTTTCAAATTAAGCCTACAGTTCTTTCCAGCTCAGATATGAAGACATTGGTGGGCTGAAATGAATGGAAGCATTTTCTTTCCCCAGTTCAAAAGCAAATTGATGCCAACTCCTAAGCTATCCTTAGTTGGACAACACAGAGTTGGTGTTTACTGATCTTTGTCTAATGCTGGACGCTGAATGCATATGGATTAGGACAAGCCCAGACCTGCTTGTGGTGTGACTTGTCCCTAAAGCCTTGTCTTAAAAACTGAAGAACTGTTTTAATGAATTAGACAAAGACCAGCAATTTTTCTCAGCATTGTCCGTCTCAATGCTTCTGTTCAGCCAACAGATAGTACATATTGAAGTTGGTTTTCCCAGCTCCTGATATTCCAAAATTTCTTCACACTGCATTGGCCTTTTACAATATGTGGACAGTTGTTTGGTCAGTTCTTTTCCAATAGTTTCGTGCTTTGAAATGACATGTTACGAAGAGGTAATAAACCAGGGGCTTATGTCCTTCTACCAGAGATTTCTCTCCTGGCTACAAAAGTCTTGGGATTTTGCTTCTACTGGTGACAGAGAAGTTCATTGTAAGAGTTGCCAAGAGAGGGAGGAAGTTCCAAGTCAGGGCAACTAACTGGGCAGAGGAAATGAGATAATCTGCTTCTTAAATCCAGCACACACTGTACTACTCATAAGGATGTGTGTACTTCCTTCATCCGTGAAGGTGGTAGATATTTGGACAACAGTGGACTACAGTAGAGAGCCCAGCAGCATAGAATAGGAATGGTGGTTCTCTTCATCCATATTTCTTACAATATGTTTATTATGTTCTGTGCTTTAGTTGGTCTTCCTTAAAAGGGTCCCAGCTCTGCTATGTAAGTGTATTGGTGAGAAAAAGAGCTTAAAAAAAGTTGTTCAACAAACTAGTTGGCTTCTCTTCACTGATGTTTATGATAGTCTAGCTAAATGCCCTTTTGTATTATGGCAGGGAAGAATTTCATGGGACTGGTGAGTTGCAAGCGCAATGGACTGCACCTCCATTATTAAAAGTAACTGTTGTGGGATACAACTAGCCAAGTCCACTTTAGTGTAATTATAGGTGGGTTTTTTATCATGTCAGAAGCAACTTGAGAAACTGCAAGTGGTTTTTGGTGTGAGAGAATTGGCTGTCTGCAGGGATATTGTCCATTTGGCACCCATATGTGTTACCATTCTGTGAGCGGCTTCTCTCATGCCCCCACATGGAAAGCTTGAACTGACAGATGAGAGCTAACTCCATTTCACAGATTCAAACCGCCCTCCTTCAGGACAGCAGTTCAGCCAGCATAAGAGTTTAACCCATTGCACCACCACAGCTCCTAAGTCAGAGTTAACTTGAAAGTACACAACAAAAACATCACCACTAATTTCTAATGTTGGAAACAAAGGATGGGCTGTCATTGAATCCAAAAATGTCCTGTACCAGTACCAGTCTGTTTTGGAGTGAATGTAGTATCTCTACATCACATTACATGATCTTTCAAATAAAATCCTAGGAGGCCATGGCTCAGCACCATCGTTCTTTGAAGCCCCTTCCACACAGCTGAATAAAATCCCAGATTATCTGAATTGAACTGGGATTTATGACAGTGTGGACTCAGATATTCCAGTTCAAAGCAGATATTGCGGGATACTCTGCTCTGATATTCTGGGTTATATGGGCTGTGTTGAAGGGCCAAGAGACATCTAATACTCAGATACAGAGTTAATGGTTTTGAATATGTGCATGCCATTCACCCTTTATTGCTTGATGTCTCCAATTCACTTGGGTTCCCTAAACCTTATATCGGTGATCCCAAAGTTTGTGATACTAGTACATGGAATATAATTGTAAGAAAATGTATGTTTAATTCTGGTCCGGTTACTACTACCATTCATATCCTGCCCAAGTTTTGTATGTGGTTGCAAAACACATTTTCTTATGCATTTTGTTCTTAATAGCAGCATTTTTGCACATTTAAAAATGTGTTTATGCAATTTTAAACTATACATTTAATAAAGTACATTCAGTAGTGTATATTTATGTTTCATGTACTTCTTATACACATAAGCATTCAATGATTGTTTATAATTTAGGGTAAGAAATAGATTTGTGTACATTGACCGAATGTAAAGCAGAGGCATAGTTAATCTCAACCATCTATGTGGACAGTGTTAGGTTTTGTATTATTTTGGATCTTGAAATTCTGGATAATGGATGCTCAACATTTAATGTAAATTTATTTTCTATTCCTAATTTACGGTTGAAGCCACATTTAATCTTGACATCTATATCCATATTTAAAACCAGTTTATTTTGCCCTGTGGAACAAAGCTTGTGGAACATGTGTCCCTCCAAAGGATATTGGGCTGCAATTTGTGTCATCCTTCACCATTAGCTGCTTTGGTTAGGACTGATGGGAGTTGCAGTCCAACAACATTTAGAGAGTTACTGTGTTGCCCTCCTTTGCTAAAAAGACCAAGTCTGGTTTTTGCCTTCAGCTCAAACTAACTACATATCTTCTTTTCTTTTCAGGATTTTCTTTATCATGCAGGTGTCTTTGTCTTTTATTTTGGAACATTTCTTCTGCAAGCAGCCACCACCTCTTTGCATTCTTATCCATTTAAATTCCATCAAGCCACCAATAGCACCAAATATACCCCAATTCTTAATGAGCACGAATACAATTTGAGCATATCGGCTTCTGTAAGTATCACTCTGCTTCATTCTGAACTTGATCTAGCTTCCAAAATAAATAAATCAGGGAGCCAAATGATGAGATAAGAATCTCTATGGGTCACGTTTTCCTGTTTTGCTCTAGTTGGGAGTAGAGGTAGGTTGGGTTAGGCTAGAACTGTAAGAACTTAGCTCCAAGGAAATCACTCTCTTCCTAAACATTAGGAAGAACTTCCTGATGGTAAGAGCCATTCGGCAGTGGAATATGCTGTCTCTGAGGTCCTTTCTACACTGCCATATAATACAGTTTATCAACGCAGATAATCCAGTGTCGTACTCCAGAGCAGGAATGCCTCTGACTGGAAACACCATACCAACTTGGTAAAATCAGCAAGCAGTTTATTGTAGAATATATGTAGGCAAAGCAGTAAAAACAGTAAAAGTCCAAAATCCAAGATAATCCATACATTTTAAAAGGAAACCAGGTCCGTTAGTACATGGAAATCCACGAAGCAAGGCACTTGAAAACATTAAACCAAAACAACAGGAACTCTTAAGCAAAAACTCAAACTTGGCAACAACTTGATACATGAAACATGGAGCACTTGAAAATGAAACTGGCATGAGTTAAAGATGTTGACTCGACTGAGACACTAGCCTCCCATGAATGATTATAAACCCTTTCCAAAGGCCAAAACTGACAGGAAAGCAGTCTTTCTCACTTTCCCCACTAGAAAATGGTTCGTTATCTTTCTTTTGTTGTAAATGAGAAGAATGCATAAGATTCCAAAAGTTCTCTGCCTACTAAAACTTTGCTTCCTGTCCAATGTTTCACTATCATCTCCCTCCGCACCTGCCAAAGCAGTCTCAGCATAATTTTCAGGCTATTGCTCTGAGAAAAGCAGTGAAAGGCCTTTCCCAGGAATGTGACCTTGCTCAGGCCTCTCTTCTGAACTTTACTTCAGGCCAGGCAAACCCGCATCTCCAGGCCCATCATCAGGAACATCATTCCCATTCCCATAATGCATATCAACATGAACATCATTCCCAACATGAACATCATCATGAGTCTCATTCACAATCACAGGATGAACAGGCTAACATACAACATCCAAATTATCTGCTTTGAACTGGATTATATGGCAGTATAGACTCATATACCATCCAGTTCAAAGCAGATAATGTTTATTATCTGTTTTGATAATCTGGATTATATGGCAGTGTAGAAGGGGCATGTGACTCTAAAGTCTGGTATCCATGACTTCTCCAATTCTAGTGCCAGATTCCTTCTTCCAATTTACTTCCCCTTTGTAAAAAAGCAAAGAAAAGTTATGTGTTGTTTGAATGGGTGACGAAACACCAGAAAATGTGAGGGCCTTGTGTAAAGAGTTGGGGTAGCTTCTTAAGAGATGCTCACTCTGAGGGTTCTAATTCTGACCAAAGGCTTGAGACTGTTGAATCTCCTTTCCTGTAGTTTAAAGACTTTGTTCCACATCCTAGTGTCCAGGGCAGCAGAAAACAAGCTTGCTCCCTCCTCCCTATGACTTCCCCTCACATATTTATACATGGCTATCGTGTCTCCTCTCAGTCTTTTCTTCTGAAGTCTAAACATGCCCAGCTCTTTAAGCCTCTCCTCATAGGTCTTGTTCTCCAGACCCTTGATCATTTTTGTTGCTCTCCTCTGGACACGTTCCAGCTTGTCAATATCTCTTCAATTGTGGTGCCCAGAATTGGACACAGTATTCCAAATAACCAAGACAGAATAGGGGGGTAGCATGACTTCCCTAGATCTACACACTATCCTCTTATTTATGCAGATGATGAGAATTATATGAGAACCATAGCATAGGAAAAGCATGTAGGCAGCTCAGTTGGATGTGAAATTCACTTTGCTTTCTCCTCCCTCTTGCAGATTTTTGCTTTTGCAACAACAGTTTGTTATGGATGCAGCACAGCCCTTGCTTTAAGAAGATGGAAGCTATAGCACCACAAGAGAAAAAGACAGCTGGAAAGCATCCCATCTGCTTTGTGTGTTTGTTCGGATGATCAAACAGGATTTGGCCCACTTATCAAATAAGAGTGACATTCCAAAGGATGTTAGGAGTCCATTTATATTTTTCTAAAAATGTTGATATGCAAAGAAATAAACTCCATGCATAATTAATACCTTTTTTTGACAGGGGAAAACATGTTTATTGTAAAATTGTTTCAGATGTGCCATTCTGCTTTAATGGCCTCATTTGCAGGTTGCAAAAGTGGAGGAACAGCATTTCGGGGACATTTTTTTAAAAAATCAGGAGAAATCCTTGGCATTTTTGGACTGTGGACAAACATGGTGGGAGCAGCAAGGACCTTTGTGTGCAAGTTTTTCTTTTAAAAAATGCCAAATTGGTCATTGCCATTTGCAGCTGCCATCTTCTCCCATCCCAACCCACATAATGTTACATCCAAAGCCTCATTCCATATGGGGAACATCGTGGCAACTCATCATGACCCCAGTTTTGTTACCTGATGAATAAGCAGAACAATTTGTTAAAGAGGAAACACATATATGAAACATTACTGTTTTCAGCATTTTCCCTCTCCCTTCTTCCCTTTCTCCCTATACTCTCTCCATTTTAAACAAAATCCAAATAATTTGAAAGTGAAGAAAAAAGTGCCGTGCAGGATATTTCTGCTCAGCTTTGGTTTATTTATTTCTCTGGTTTTCAGCTCCTTATTTTGATTGAACCTACTAGGAGCATTATCCTCTGCTAATGGATAGTATTATAATAAAGCTGAGTGGGAATAATCACTAATAGAAAATTTTTGGTGCTAAACTAAGAAATCCATATAGATGTGCTGTGCATTGCACACATGCAAACATAGGGAGGCAGCTATAAAATGCTCAACTGCAAACTTATTTCAGGGAGAGAGTATGGCTAGGTCTATGGTCATGGTTTGCTAGGTCTGTGGTCACAATTCTTGTCACACATTTACAAACATTTTATGTTTCCAAATCCTGTTTAGATATAATATTTCTTTTCTGTTTGATTGATATTGCCTGAGGCTTTGGAAATCTAAAATCCTGACAGCCCAACCAAGTGAACTTGTTGAAATGACTAGCAATTACTCAGTATCAATTGGTGTAGGAGCCCCCAGTGATGCCATGGGTTAAACCCTTGTGCTGGCAGTACTGGACTGACAGGTTGGAGGTCCGAATCTGGGGAGAGTGCAGATGAGCTCCCTCTGTCAGCTCCAGCTCCCAATGCGGGGACATGAGAGAAGCCTCCCACAAGGGATGGCAAAACATCAAAACATCTGGGCCTCTCCTGGGCAACGTCCTTGCAGACGGCCAGTTCTCTCACATCAGAAGCGACTTGTAGCTTCTCAAGTTGCTCCTGACACACACAAAAAGTATCAGTTGGTAGATTTCTCCATTTCCTAACACTTTTGTGCTTGATGTCTATGTTGCTAGGTTCATGGGGTTTTGTATTAGTAATCTAAATGTAATATCTTAGGAAACTAGCTTTCCTTTTTTAAATGGCCATTTCTGGGAAGAGACCAGAGTACTTACTAATCATCCACTACATACAGGGGTCTGCTTGGAGTTAGTAGAGTGTGGTGTTTCACCTGTAAAGCTCACAGCACTTTAAGGAAGATATCTTAATGACTTTGGTGAATGATTATAAAAAGTGTGTATTACTGGCAGAGAACAGAAGTGTCCCTTTCTAAATTATTTTTGATTTCTTGCTTGGAAACAAATAGGAGTATCTCTATTCAAAGTGAAACCATTTGAATATGGGAACTACCTAGTTCACAAGTCTCAAAACTCTCTCAAAGCACAAGTTTTAGCAGTTTGGTTTTTATTGAGGCACTAACCTGGAAAAAATGTGCTCTGGGTTCAAAATGTTGTTAGACCTTTTTTATTTTTTACACTTATAGACTGAGCCAAAATATTTAAATCCCCCTTTTAAATGGTTTGCCTGCTTGGATGTATCTAGTATCTGTTCTTATTTCCATACTGCTAAGATACCATATGGTTATCAGTCCACAAAATGAACCCATGTGCGGAATTAACATATATGTCTTACTTTGATGTGTGCTGTGCACGTCTTGCTGCAACAATCTGAAGTCCCACCCCAAGTTTTGTAGGTAAAGTTTTGCAGGTGCGTTTTTTTCAATCTGTGCCAATGCCTTTTAATCTTAACTTGTGATTTCCAGTTTATAATACAGACAACTGCTTTTCTCCAAAACAGCTTTAGATGTTTAAAATCCTATTGCTTTTTATGTTATCCTATTTCATTATAGCAAATATATTTATATTACAGAACACATTTGATGCACTTGTGTTTTGAGTGTGGAAAAGTGTATTTGTGGCTGGCTGTTGTGCGAATTTGCTTCCTGTAATCATAAAAGTTTGCACTATTTTATATTTGAGGCTCCAGGTTCTTGAATCAAATGCTTATTAATCCAGTGTTACATTTGTTCATTCTCCCGGTACAAGTCCATTCAAGCACATATAAATGGATCTGGTTTCTTGTAATGTATCACCTCATTGTGTTAGGAGCCTCCAGTGGCACAATGGGATGCCTGCCATAGATCCAGGCAAAATGTTAGGAGAAAGTGCTTCTAGAACATGACCATACAACCCGAAAAACGTACAACAACCCAGTGATTCCAGCCATGAAAGCCTTTGACTATACTTAATTAAATAATTGATACAAGATTCTGGACATCATTTTGAAGAGCAAGAAAGCAAAGAAATACTTTTAGAATTGTAACAACTATAATTGATTCCTCTAGGAGCTGGGAGTATAATAAAGTCCCATTTGAAAGTACTTTGCCAGGCATTGGGATGAAACCTGAATAGTATTAAAATATTTGTGTGTTCTTCCCATTTAGCAACAGTAGATGGCGCCCTAACCCTAACTGACATTTCACAATACATCATCTCTGTAGTTTATTGGAGCCCTATCCTGAAGGAGGAGGAGGAGGAGGATAGATGCAACAAAGAGTTGAAAGAGAATATTAAACAGAAAGAGACATAAAGCAGGCATTCTTTAAAATATGATCTACATTTTCAGAAAGTGTTACTTCTTGACATTATTATTATTTTTATTATCATCATCACCCGGAGAGCATTGTTTGAGGAGCTGTGCTGTTGTGTTGTGAATCTTCTACCTCTAATGTTGTGCTTGCAATGCCTTCTTCATATGCACAATGTTCACCTAATGATTTTATCTATTGAAGACTCATGGCTGAATATATTAAATAATAATAATAATAATAATAAATAATAAGATGGAACAATGGATCACATCCTCAGCTGCTGCAAGAAGATTGCGCAAACAGACTACAAGCAGAGGGATAACACCATTGCTCAGATGATTCATTGGAACTTGTGCCACAAATACCATCTGCCTGTGACAAAGGACTGCTGGGATCACAAGCTAGAAAAAGTTAGAGAATGAACATGTCGAACTCCTCTGCCGGGACTTCTGGATTCAGACAGAGTTCTGGAGCACAATACTCCTGATCTCATGATTGTGTTAAAAAACAAAGTATGGATCATCGATGTTGCAATCCCAGGCGAAAGCAGGATTGAAGAGAAACAACTGGAAAAGCTGACACGATATGAGYATTTAAAMATCGAACTGCAAAGACTCTGGTACAAGCCAGTAAAGGTGGTCCCAGTGGTGATCAGCACACTGGGTGCAGTGCCTAAAGGCCTTGGCCTGCACTTAAACACAATTTGTATTGCATTGTATTGTTTTGTTTATTGCTTTTCTGTTTTATTGATGTGTTGTTGGGCTTGGCCTCATGTAAGCTGCTCCGAGTCCCTTGGGGAGATGGTGGTGGGGTATAAATAAAGTATTATTATTATTATTATTATTATTATTATTATTATTATTATTATGCCAGTTTAACCTCTCTCGGAAGGGAATTACACAACCTAYGAGCAGCTACCAAAAAGGCAGTCTCCCATTGTCCCACCAGATGTATCTCTGAGATGGTGGGACAAGGAGATGGCCCTTTACTAAGGATCTCAAAACACAGAAAGGGCAGGGTCATGTGGGGGAATAAAGTATTTCAAATAATTTTTAATGGCTACTCAACACAACTGGTAACCACATGGGTGGAATCGTGTCTTTTTTGGCCCACCGTTTGTTTTGACTTCAGAGGCGAAAGTATCAATAATGACCATTGTGCTATTTACACTGGCCATTCCCCAAACTGCTGATATAATGCAAACATTCTGGATACAAAGTAAAACTTGTAATGAGCATCATGAGATACAAACAGTTCTCTTTCATGATTCAGAGCTATGGCAATAGAGCAGAACTTCCTAATGAATTCTGAAAGCAAAATTCTTCATCCAAAACCCTTTGCTCTGTTAGAGTAGCATTCTCTTCATGCATGTGTGCATTTGTAAGAGAGAGCCTAAAACAGATGAGTTGTTCCTTCTTTTTCTAAACTAATTTTTATTGAATTGTCCTAAGGTTGCATGTATGAAATAATAGCGTGCATGTGCACACACTGAAAACTGGAATTTTCAAAATAGCCTTCAACTTTTACTTCCACTAGTGCACTCCAGTGTGATGAAATAGTTTGAGATGGGTTAACAATCCTGGAGACCAACATTCAGACCCACTGGGTGATCGTAGATACGTCACACATACTCAGCTTCATAGAGACACAAAGGCAAACCCCCTCTAAATAAATCTTGTCAGGAAATCCCAGAGATGTGTTTTCTTGGCAAGCAGCCTTGTATTGAGCTTTGATAGAAAGGCAGGGAATAAAGTCAATAAAATAGGTTCACTATAGTGTCAAAATACATTGGAAATTATTTGAAAGCTCACAGCAACTTTAGTTGGGCTCTTTGAATCTTTTGAATTATTTTATTTTCTCCCTGTACTCATTGCTTCAGGCCAAGGTCTGTTCATTCATATAGAAACTTGGGCTGCATTCAAAGTTTTATACAACTTTGAAATTGCAGCTATGGATGAAGTAGCCTTATGGTAAAACTATGTAAATGCTATTTCAACCTACCCTAAGAACCAAAATCTGGATCTGTGGAAGGTGTTGTGGGTGCAAGGAGAAGGATCTTCTCTCCTACCATACCAAGTAGACCTGATATAGTGGTAGGAACAAGACAAAACTGGCCCCAGAAGATTCCAAAACCCCATATAGGGAAACACCATATTTCTCATTTGTGATTCTAATATAGTCGCCACTAAATTCTTTGAAACTTCTGGGAAGTCAGTGGGTAAATCCCCATTTGTGCAACCAGGGATAGTTTC